CTTAACTTCCTTGTGATTTTTATTGGTATAAGTTCCTTTGTCCCAAGAGATCCGTTTAGGATATAGAAAAAATAGCTTTTCTCTCTCAATCTGTGTATATATTTTCGCGAATATCCTTACGAGTATCCAATCTTATGGCTTCCCAGTACCACCTCAGTCACCTCGATTTTATATTTCTTCCATATAAAACACTGCATCCACACTTTCTATTAGGCGGACAGCTCCGCCAACGGGCACTAATTTCTGCCTTTCCAGTTACGGGAGATTAAACAGTACTACATTTACTAAATTGAGTGATCTTGAGTACAGTTTGCACCAGCTTCCAAATCCAAACTTCTTTCTTTCTCACCGACGTAGTTATTGAGCCTTGCAACCGGTATTTCTTCTGGATTTTCAGTCTTGMGCGATGGTGACACGGCTCCATTTTGGTAGCAAATTACTTTCTTTTTCCTGTAAAAGTTATCCAATCTTTAATTTCAATGTTAACGATATTTCCTTCAAAAAAGAAATATGCTACTTAGGAAGGGAGAGAGTAAAAAATCATATTGAATAAGGTGAATTAATGGAAAATACCAGGTACTGTTSCTTTGCGTGCGGCAATTTATTAAGATAAAAAATATAGATATTAAAATAATCTGTTATAAAGAAATTAGTAGTTAGTTACATACATATGAATGGATGAGAAAGGAAGAGTCGAAGGCGAAGGTGGAGGTGGAGGGAGTAATGGGAAAAAGCGAGAGTAATGACCATATTATTATGACTCAAAATTAAAAATGGCGATTTATATATTTTTTGGTTGTAGAAATCCAGCAAAGGTTCTCAGATTAGCACTCGGTGAACATATTGCGATAGTACAATGCGATATTCTTTTAACTTACTTTAAAACCTTGACAACTACTACAGCTACTACCACTGAAAGTATTCCAAAAATCAAACCAAGCGACAACCCAAGATTCGAACTATCCTCCTTTTTAGGYTCGGACGTGGTTTTATGTGGTAATATTCTAGAAATCTTTTTGCCTAATGCTATTTCGATCTTGACTTTTTCAGCATTGATAGCAGCGATCACTGCTTCTTTGGACAATGGATTGGCGTCAGGGAATTGTAGCGCAACCTTTAGGCGAATATAGAAGGCGACGGTGAGYTGACCATTTTCTTCCTTGGGGTACCCCGGTAAGATGATTATGTCATCCTTGGTGATGTTTTGTGCGGTCACAGCTGCGCGGCGCCTACGATGAACATGACAGTTTATTATTAAAAACTAAATATAAACTAATAAAGATATGAATAAGGACGYATTGGTACAACTATTTATATATCCACTGGTACCTGTACAATTATTTTATTCTTAATTGAAAAGTCAAACTTTAACGTTTCACAAAAARACGAGCTTTTAACCGACTTTCATGACGGCACAAAAAAACTTTTTTTTATCAATGGTGTTTTTCCTCATCAGTTGCACTTTAATATTCTTTTGGCTTGGACAACATAGAGTCCTATTGCTTATAGGAAAAGCTACTTCATGTCAATTGCGCCATCTTGAMCCATAACCGTGCCTATACATCGAAGCGAGACGATCGGTGAACGTGTACTGCATGAATAATTGTATGTATGTGTGAAAGAAAGTTTCTATGACTCCTCACTCAACGGTCAATAGCCGACTAGCGAATTTTACCTCAGTAGACACACAAAGGAATCAAGACGAGACGCTGTGCATGTAGCTCAGTCATTCATGAAAATACAATAGTTTTTCACGATTCACTTAGCTTTATGCACGGCGTCTCGTCTAGATTCTTTTGTGTTTGACTACTGGAGCTGGATTCGCAAGTCGGCTATTCGCTTCAATGCAAAGCCACGGCTAACTCTCAAGATGGAGCAGACTACTCATCCACATCGCTAAAATATCAAATACTGACCTTCTCCGATTAGATCCCAAAGTATCGCATTGATTCGACGTAGATTCATTGTGACAATAGTTATTGATGATATTGACGAGAACACTCTTCAATTTCTCCTCGTATCCATTTTGTTCCCACTGGAAATGAATGTTAAATGCAAATGGTATAAGGATYCCATTCAAATGATATTTTCAATTACAATCGCAAAATTTGTTCAGTTAAAGGGGCATTGTCTAGGATGGTCCCTCAGCATTCGACGCGGTCGTATTTTAAATTTTTCTATATGAAAAATAAGCTAACTTCAAATATAAATTTTCTCATCCATTTCCACAGCTCGATTTTACAATTAACTTTTTTTAATTTTATTCACCTCTGATAAAGTCATGTCATGAAAGGATAATTCAACAGCTTCAAGTGACTCTTTCTCAGATGCTGCAATATTAAAGAAAAATATAAGTGCAGTACATATAATTATAATCATAAACCACTGATTAATGTAATGTACTAGTGATATCTGTAATGATCATATAAAATAATTATGTATGATTTATTAGAATTGGTGTTTATCATAACTATATTGCACTTACGTTTGACATTTGAGGTTGATGAAACTACAACCAACATACTTGTGGACWCAGTGATACTTGAGGTCACCGTTGCTAATGTTGCGACGGTTYGTAATAGAGGCGATTCAGATAGAATTGGCGTTGATGTCATTGCCAATAACGATGACTTCATTGACGATGTCACAKGTGYTGTTGTTGACGYTGTCGGTCCTGGTGTAACTGACGATGAAAATGTCAACGTTGAAGTTGATATCAACGTTGATGGTTTAATCGCTGATGATGTTACATCTTTAAATGTTGTTGTAGGCACTGAAGATTTTGAACTTGATAATGTCAACGTTGAAGATGATATCGACGTTGATGTTTCGATCGCTGCTGGCGATGATGTTACATCTTTTGGTGTTGTTGTTGTAGGCACTGGAGTGTTTGAAGTTGATGATATCGATATTGAAGATGATATCGAAGTTGATGTTTCGATCGCTGCTGGCGATGATGTTACATCTTTTGGTGTTGTTGTTGT